TGTTTGAATACAAATACGTTTATTATAAAATAGGTATAACACCCGGAAATTTAAGGAGCAACTTTGGATATAATCACCTTCTGAGGATTCGACACGGCGTGTTGGAGGCACCAACACGGCGTGTCTATGTTTTGGGGTTATGATTGGATACCCAACTTTACGTAGTTTTACATCTCAAAGACGTCAGATCTATGTTTTGGGTTATGTATTTATGGATTAAGTGCTTATTGGTTAAGCCCTTGCATTTCTAAACTTCTTGGATTGGGTGTTGGACATTTTTGGGTGTTCTCAAAAGATAAAGTGGGAAACTTTATCCTGATGGATCACATTTCAGCCTAGATCTCAGCTTTAGAGCTCTTGGAATCAAGGAAAATGGTTAACGTATTAAGTAGTTGGATCTTCGGCAAACACAACATGTTCTAAGTCAACACGGCATGTTGTGTGACAATAGTCAATTTCGGGTCAAGTCAAAGTCAACAAGTCAAACCGATCGACTCGATTAACCCTTGCATATTAGGGTTTACATTGTGTAATTACTAATTACTAAACAACTCGCTATTTTAATGAGAAAACATCATTTGGAAGAATCGGGTGTTTGAATTTCCATAGTCGTGATAATGCTAAACATTGAACCAAAGGGATAAAACACTATTACACACTCATCGGGAGTGTGTAGGACACTAAAACATGGCTTAATGGGGTTTACGGACCTTGCATTGCGAAGCCGGACACTCAAAAATGCCACAAACGAAACCTCTCTCGATCACTTTTACGTTATCTCTCTCTATTACAAATCTCTCCCAAATCTCTCTCAAAAGTTCTCGTAACTTTTTGTAATCATTCGGGTCATCCCAACCCTTAACCGGGTCAAAAACGACTTGAAACGGGGTAAAAACGAGAAAAATAGGCTTAAGGATCCGAAGCACGAAGCCTCAGATCCGAATCCGAAGCCTGAGCCTCAAATCCGAATCCGAAGCCTAAGCCTCAGAATCGAAGCCCGAAGCCTAAGCCTCAGAATCGAAGCCCGAAGCCTTAGCCTCATAATCGAAGCCCGAAGCCATAGCCTCAGATCCAAAGCCCGAAGCCTCAGGATCCGAAGTCCGAAGCCTCTAGGGCCAAATCCAAAGGGCTTCGCAGGAAAACCCATTTTTTCCCGGTTTTCGACTACGACTTCATTTTAAGTCCGTTTTTCATCATATTAACGCGGATTTTCATCCAAAACTTTATTTTAACATATAAGGCCCTATATTTATTAATTAATCACGTTTTGGGGATAAAACTTATCCAATAAGAGTGGGGGAAGTGCAAGAGGTGGAGTGTTGACTTTTCTTTAGTTTATGACACAAGCAACCTCCCATACCAACTCCATGACTAACCCACACACCTCCCCACCATACCTTGTCACTTCCTTGTACCTTTCCACTCAATTTTCAGCCTCTCCCACGTCCTAAGAGCTGGAACAACTCATCCTCTCTCCTCATTCTCACTCACTTGTTCTCATTTCACCAAAGATCAAACTCAATTTTTCTCTCAAATTTTCTCCCTCAATTTCAGGATTTCAAGGCTGATCATCAAGCTTCCTTACACTCTTGGTAAGTATAATTCATCCTCCTTGTGATAATTACACTTCATTCTACTCAAATCATTGATTGCTTACACAAACTCCATCATTATTGTGTTAGATTCTTGAATCTTCAAAGTAATCGTTGAAGTGTTCTTGAGTTGAACACTTCTCTTCTTCAACATTCATCCACTGAAATCACTCAAGGTGAGTTCATACCCCTACATTTTCATATTTTCTTAAGTTTTAAGGGGGGAATACAAGTTAAAGCACCAAGAACACAACTAAATGCTTCTAACAGCTTTCATCAGAAAAGTTGGACTCTATTCACGGACTGTTTTGGTCAAATAAAACATTTTAGTTTTCAAAATTGTACAAGTTGCAAGTAGTTCAAGCTCTTAGCTTTAAAATGGATACTTGCACATTTCCATACGATTTTTCTACAGTTTATGGTGATTTTTACAAAACTGCCTATCATTTCAAGAACCAATATGGACCAGTCTGTGTTTATGGACATTTTCACCTAAGTTCGAGGACACTAAAAATCATGGAAAATTTTATGAACAAACTAGACTCATTTTCCTAATTCCCAGAATTTACGGATTCTGATTTGGACCTGTTATGAATTTCCTATAAACTTTATAAGAACAGTAATGGAAAATGTTAATAACAGGAAAAAAAAATGTTAACAATTTCATTTCACCTTGTAACCTGTCGAGCAAGGTGTATATCTTTATGTGAATATATGTTATTGCAAATAAATGACATTTTGTCTTGGTATATAAGCATGCATCAGTTAATAAATGGATATATATATATATATATATATATATATATATATATATATATATATGGGATATAAAAGATAACAAATTGTTATAATCAAAGTACATCCATTACATACAAACATTTGAATAAACTATGTTAAATATAGTTTACGTACATTACCACTACTACCCTTGTTTTGATAAACTATAATAGGTATAGTTTATGATACATTGCATAACACACTCATACAAAAAGGGTAAATTTATACGAAAAGGGATTTTCATTACATTACACGTAAATTCGTTAATGACTTTGTGAGACATTCGCTTCACATTTACCAATAAGTCTCGTATTGTAACCAGAGTCTCCTAGAGGGAGAGCGTGATAGTTGTATATAGATCTATATTGGATTTGACAAACCCACACCTTAACTGCATGCAACAGTTAGACCAGCAGGTCTGGGGTGACAAATATCATAACATTTCCGACGCCTGAAGAACGTCGTTTCAGGCCAACTAGGTCATAGCATGGTTATAATAACTCACAGAAAGTATTAACAAACATAGGAATTTACGGGAATTTCATTGAAATTAAAAGAGTTTATGCCGATTTAAACTTGCATTATTTACTATAAGTAAGAAAGGGTACTTATACATGTTGGTCTCTGGATATAATACTACATTACACATTTTAAGGAAAATATCGGATTTTTTTGGAACAAATATTACATTTACAAGAGAAAGGCTTTTATCAAGTTAAAACAAAAGCTTATGAACTCACCAACCTTTGTGTTGACACTTTTTCAAACAACTTGTATTTTCAGGAAATCACTAAACAGGTAATCAAGTGCATTTTGAGGATGGGATGTTAAGGCGTCAACATTTCATATTTTGTCAACATATATATATATATATATATATATATATATATATATATGTTGGTTGTGTTTGCTTAAATTACTATTGCAATTGTGGTTATGATACTATACATGAAGTCCTCCACCCCCGAACGTTTCCGCCATCCTTGGTTTGGGGGTGTGACAGATTGGTATCAGAGCACGGTTTATAGTGAATTAAGTATATCAAACCACATAAGATATACAAACTATAAACACATTTGGGACTAAAAGTCTTTGATTTTAAAACATTTTAATGGGTTATACTTTTAGAAAATAAATAGTTTTCTCGTTTAAAGTATACCTACATGCATTACATGCTCGCGTAGTGTCATAACTAGGAGAACATAAAGTAAAAGAAGAGAAGTTGTACATTATGAATATGCCTTAGTATATGTGAATCGAGTCTGGGAGGGATATAGTCTGATCAACTACATCTATTCGAGAAGTGACTTACATATACCAGGGGATAGTCGTAGTGGGCAACAAATCTAATAACCTAACAAATCTAATGAATTCAAACATATTTTTTTCAGATCTAAAAAATAAAACAACACATTTTTTCCTGATCTGCAACGTCAAAATCAAGAACAACCAGAGTTTTAAACCCACAAGAACAACCAGATCTAAAACATAAAACACTTGATCTTCTTCCCATCTATGGATCTCTCTCTCTCTCTCTCATCTTCTTCCTCTAAGCTGGTGAAGATGAACAGAACTCCGACGATATTGGTGGCTTTACGTGTGTAGATCTACGATCGCAGTGGTGACGAACCCTCCGATCTAAAAATCTTTCAGTTGAAACCCTAGGTCGTTGTCCTTCTCGTTTCCGTTACGGGTTCAAGCTATGGAATCATTCGTCGCTGCCCCTTTCTTTGTGTTCGTCGAGGTCTCAGGAAGGTGGTATCCAGATCTGTTCATCTAATGAAAATGATGGTGTTGTCCTTCTCTTAAACGACGAAGACGATGTCGCTTTCCCCCACCAGAGACATCCTTACGCAACTGCCACCCTTCGTCTTCTCTGTTGCCCATATACATTCACCAAGCTTCAACGTCTGAGGGAGAGAGAGAGAGAGAAAGAGAGTCCTTTCTTCTTCTTGATTTTCTAGCTCTGATCTATGTCCCCATTTACCGGCTTCGGGCAGTGGAGGTTGTGCTACCGTCGGTAGCTTCTAGTGATGGTGGTTGTGCTTTGACCGACGGCGACTTCAAGTGGGTGTTTACAGAAATATAAAAGGGGGAGGGGTGTTTACATTTTCTTTTTTATTTATTTTAATAAATAAACTTAATAAAAATCTAAAAAAAGAAAACACCAAGGGTAATTCTATCATTTTAAATATTTTCAAAATATTTTGGACCAAACTCGTAATAAAATGAAAAGTTTGGACCAGTAGTGTTAGTCCAAAACTTTTTAGACCAATGACAATTTTCAACTAATGATAGGACCATTTGTAGAGTTTTGTCTTTATAATAAGTCAAAATAGAAGGCTAACCATGGAATAAAGACAAAATTGAAAGCAAATGCTTGATGATTACTAAGAGCGATAACATTATAACAATGAAACCAAAACTAGACAAACTTTGCACTAATATTCACAACATTGAAACCAAAACATATTATAAAACTAAAATGGTAATTTCTTTAGGCATTTCTCATTAAGCCAAAACAAGAAACAGAACATCTCATGAGTGCTACATCAAGCAGAATAACAAACATTGTTTAGGCATAAAGCCACTAACACAAAACGACTAACTAAGATTAATCACCATCATTAGTTATGATTCCTTCTTAGCTAGTACCAAAAATATTATAGCTGCTCCACCAGAGGAATACAAAGATGGTACTTGTTCTAGTCTCTTGCGATATGACTCAAAGAGCTCATCTATGGTTTCCTCTTGGAGACACCCCTTCAAGACTCCCTCAACACCAACCCTTACACCCATTGCAAGACGTCCCGCAGCATCCTTGGTTTCAGGCTCGGCAATGTGAGGCATCACTTCCATTTTCTCTATCCTAAAACAACCATTTCTATCAACTATTTCCTCTAACTCGTTTGGGGATGAGTAATATATGGGGATGTTTAGAGAATCTACTTTCTCTTCCTCAATCTTTCCCTACAAACAGAAGCAAATTTTCAATACTTTGTTATTAATTAGAATTAGAATGTATTATAGTTTAACCATTTACCTCTTTCGCCATAGCCAACAAGCAACAACCCAACACCTCAAACAACACATTACCAATACACTCTAGATGTGGAACCCCATTTGGCCGGCCTGGCACCAAAACCACCACCATACCACCGCTAGCCACCTCCTCTGCTCGAGCTTTCAAAAACCCATCCACATCTTTCATGTGTTGTTCCCGATAGGCCATAACCACCTCATTATCAGCGCCACCATAATGAAGTCTCCCTTTGTTCCAAGCTCTCGAGTCTTTTTCTATCACCCCTTGAGGCACTTTTGAAAGCCAATGAAGAGCGAATGAAGAGTGGATAACATGAAGAGATGCCCGAGGGAACAAACGAGTGTAAAACGAGCCTGGAACACCAGCAGCATGGTAATGTTTATTGGAAGGAAGGGTTTTGAAGAGGGTGTTGAAATCGTTTGAAGCGTGATCGTTGAAGAAGACTTGGAACTCTGGTGTTGGGAAAGAGTACTCATCATATTTGAGTTGCACAGATTTTATTATGTTTTCTACAACAATCAAAGTGTTGGGGCCAATGGAACAACCCAAGTCTGCAATACGGAAGGGGGTTCCACATGCTAACACATCAAGCTTCTCAGCAACAGCATCGCTGATGAGTGACATAGCAACGTCTGAAAGTGACTTCTACACAAGACATCTTAATTGAAGATACACGGATCCTCAAGAATATCGAAGATATATAACAACTCATATTTGATGGATATTATACCTGATAAGAAGAGTTTTTGGTGTAGCTACTGATACCATCTCCACCCTTCATCGGATAAGCCTTGCTGCTGTCCATGCTTCTTATTTGTTGATTTCTCTTGTGAAGAATTTGAAAATATTAATGGGATGTAATTTTTACTTTTGTATTCGTCTCAAGTTGTATAGGGTGAGAAAACCAAAGATCTCAACAGTTTGTATCATCAAAAGCATCGTACGCAACAACAAATCAACTTCATTGTCTTCTGGTGCATTGAAAACCGGCATAAATTCGCATATATATATTTTTTATTAAATTTGAGGAGTGGCCCCTGCAGTTTGATGAATATCATAATTTTTAGTCCAAGTTTTCGCCTCTTTAACCCAATTTTTTCCAATGTCAGTTTAGCCTCTTTAACCCCATTAAAATTTTCTATCAAGTTGATGCTAAATGCCATTATACCCTTTATCTTTGAGTTTTTTTCTTTTGAGTTTTTTTACCAGATGCGTATTTTTTAGTTTTTGACTTTGAGTTTTTGTACTTAAAACATTGTACCTATATTAATAAAAAAAAGTCAGAAAAGTAAACTGTTTTGGGTTCTTGTAATGCTTTGAGATACACCTCCGATTTTATGAAATCAACTCATTCCGATCTAATACAAATCAAGATAGAAAACAATTCATAATTATTACAATAATAACAATTCATAATTATTACAATAATACAAGCAAGTCATCAACATTAGAGTCGCTACATCGCACAATATCCAGTTTCTTGATGAAACTTATTCACCAAGTAACAGAACCTATTAAGCTTTTTTCTTTCAATATTTTTTCGCTGTTTCATAAGATAAAACAGCAGAAAATCAATGAATCCTAATCAAACCAATTGATCATTTCTAGCACAACAAGGATATCTTCACTCTTCACCATAATCAAACTCACACCAAATGAAAAGAATTACATAAATAAATAAAACCTTTAAATCAATTCTTATTTGGATAGTTCCCGAGTTGCTCCATCTGCCAGCTCTCGTGAGGTGCAACATGATCATGGTCAGGTGTGTATTCCTGCATTTCAGATAATAAGTTACATAATTCATTATAAAAAAATAAAAATATGATCATAAATCAATTAAAGATTACATACCTCCATCTTTGCAAGCAAATCTATTGCATTAGGGGCAGATATGACAATTTGTCTAGCACCTGGCTTGATGAAGCCTTCCTTCACTCCATTGTCAAATAATGCAAGCAAATTGTTGTAATAACCATCAACATTTAGGAGACCAACCTATAGGTACATAAACTTAAAGGTTATATCATATATATACATATATGGAAACAATTCACTAAAAAGTTTTTTTTTTTTTTTAAATGGTGAAATGAAGTTGAACTCACAGGTTTTTTATGAATTCCAAGCTGTGACCATGTGATCATTTCTAATACTTCCTCCATGGTTCCATAACCTCCTGAAAGTGTTTTAATTCACTCACACCATAAAAATATAATTTACAAGTTGAAATGAAATCTAGAAAGTTAGATGTGATTTGAATGATACCAGGGAGTGCAATAAAGGCATCAGATTGTCGAGCCATTTCGGCTTTCCTTTCGTGCATGTCTGAAACAATTCGTACTTCTCCAACAGTTTCACCGGATATCTATTAAAATTAGCATCTTTGAAAATCTTTTCCAAAAGTTTCATCTTTATCTACACTTTTACATTATTTTAATCACTTTGTACATGGGATAAACTCTGATGTTCTGTTTCCTGAGCTAAGTGGCTTGGAAGAGCTAGGGGATTCCAAAACAAACCTTACAAATCATGTTTTCTCTAACAAGCTTAGAGACTATTTCTTTTTTGGAACAAAGTGTGTGGATGTGAGTCAATGACTATTTTACCCTTTGGTTTAAAAGTGATGCAGAATAACAAAAGGGTATAACTGCCATTATTTACTCACATTCAATCCAAAAACAAAACGTTTACACATATAAATCACTTACTCTAGACAAACATCATTTATCCATTCAGCAATTTACCATACAGCACTTAATGGAAAAAAGAACAAAACATATGCCCTTAAGCTATATCTTTTATCCTACAATAGTCTAACTAAGAAAGTTTAAAACTTTTTTCCAAATTTGTGTTCATAAACCATAATCTAACGAAGGGAAACATAAAATCTTTTTTCTTATTTGTGTACAAAAACCATAAGCTAACAAAGGAACTGAGCAATTCTGGATCAAAAGGATACATGGGTACCTAGAAGAAACTCAAAAAAATGTTGATTTATAAAGGGGAAATACCTCAAGAGGAACAAGAGCTTTGGGAATAACTCTGCAAGTGAGCAAGCAACAAGGATTTCATTAAAGCTGCAAATTTATGACAGAGTGATGAAATTATACACAGAACAAGGATTGAGGTTTATGTATATTAATTACCCAAGAACATGGCAACCTCCATCAAAAACTCTCTGAGATATCATACCCATTAGACCAACACTTCCACCACCATATACCAAGTCTATCTTCCGATTCACCTGTAATTACAAAAGCAAGCAAATTTTAATTAAAATAAGAAGACTTAGTGACACCAATTTCATGACAAGAAACGAAACTCTAAGAGTCTTTTTATCAAACAGATGGTGCACCACCAAGGACAGTCACATATCGCATTCAAATCACATCTAATTGCATAAAGAAACTAAATAATCAGAAGGTTCGATCAGAAAAGGGAAGACTTAATGGTGCAAGAATCGAACACCGACTTCATATCAAGAAACCGAATTCTAATTTCTAAGAATCTTTTCATCAAACAGATGGTGCACCACCAAGAACAGTCGTATATTCAAACACCAGTTTGATAACTAGAAATCAAATTCTGAGTCGTTTAATTAAAAGATGATGCGCCACCAAGAACAGACATGCATCCAAAATTAAAAAGTCAGCAGCAAGAAGAATCACAATAAAGATAATAAAAGCAAACCAATCAACCATTTCATCTCCCAATTCAGTAGCAGCAACGCTGAAGACTTCCCGATGACCAGGATGACTACCACAGAAAACACATAGTCTCTTGAACTTGCTGCTCGAGCCCCTTTCCATTTCAACCTCTTCTTCCCAAAATTATCAAACCCTTCGAGTCCGACAATCTCTATGACAAAAAGAAAAGGTAAGCAACAAAGGTCTGCGCATTTATCTATTTAAAAAACTTAAGCGCAAAAAACTGAGATTACATATATACTTTTTTAATTGAAGACACAAAATTTGAGGTTCGAAATTCAATTTTCGGCAATATGTGATGAAGGGAAACAACAAAAAGAATCCCACATGCTCTATTCACTATCTGTTTGTCGCCTCTTTAAAGAATATCTAATTATGGAAACAATAGAAAAGCAACAAAAATGGGTAGTTTTGAGTTTTAATATCTTCGGATGCTATCCATCATCAAATGGGTTGGGCTATACCCGTGAGTCCCACTCATATCCAGTTATAAGTGTAAAACTCACCTTTAAAGCCCTTTTATATTTTTGATATTTAGTGAATTGGGCCCTTCTTCTCTTCTGGAGCCTTGATTCTCTAGCTAAATGTAGAAATTATTCTATATATCGATGCATTTATTACATACATTGCTGGAAAAAAAAATTATGGAAAAAGTATAACCAAATGTGACCTAGTCATGTGTTGGGCTCGATTCATTTTTCTCTCTTTTCCTGGATATAACACTAATATATATTTGTACACACATCTCTCACGAAGATCTACTACTCGTGTCCATGTCCACATGTGTGTATGAGATACTCTAACTTGGACTCCCGTCTTGGTAAGAATAGAGGTGACAAGAATATGATCCAACCTCGAATCAATCCAAATTTAGTGCTAAAATAGCGGTTTGGGTTTAAATTTTTAGCTCTTTCAAGTTAAAATGGACCAACTTGTTTAACCCGTCTATTTAAACGGGTTCAATTATGGTTAAATTTCCAATTTGATTTCAAGTAACAAACTCATTTAAATGTCATATCTCTATTTATTTTTTAATTATTTAACATGGAGAATACTTTTAGTTATTTCATATTTAATAAATATATAATATAATAACCTTAACAGAAAAAAAAAGTATGAGTCACACATTTTCATCTCACATTATCACTTTGTTGATTCAAGAAGTCAGACCCTACGTAAGCCCTCCAGTTCTTCATAAGTTATGGTATCGGCCTCAAGTCATCATAGTGTTAGTCTCCCTCAAATGGTTAGACCTTAACAATTAAGTCACCTCAAGATGGTGACCAGAAAGGGTGTTGACCGAGTATACCTTTCGGATTTCAGATAGTTGAAGTTGAATAGGTCAGGTATTTTCAAATAAAAAATTAACTGATAACTAGACTATATTAAATTCGGATATTAGGCTATTAGGTTAGGTTCGGTATATTGGGTATTCCCTTAAAAAATGATAAAAAAAAAAACTGAAGTAAAAATAATCAAGATGTTATCTAAACCATAAAAGGAACGACTTCTTTCTTAGAGCATGATGTATTGGTTACTTGTACCTTTTAAGGAGGATTGTCAATGTGATTTGAGGATTTCAACTTCTATATGAAATCAAACTAATATCAAGTCATTTATTTAACATGTTGTGTTGGATTGACAAGAACAAAGCATATCAATAATCTAGTAATTAAATATCTACTATCCAATCACCCTTTAACCGAACGTCATCAATGGAACCAACAAGTCAAAATCCATTAAGTAATAATGTTGATTACATTTCTTTCTAAACCATATTTAACATGTATTTTTTTTCGTCATGAAAGTATTTAAGTTGTTTACCTTTCAGTCCATTTTATTTAAGTTGTTTTTATTTCAGTTAATTCTAAAGTGCATATAAACTTTTTCTCTATAAAACTATCAAATTGATTTAGTTTACCTTTTTAGTGATGAAATCTTGGAATAAGACTATATTCAGCCTCCTCCACCCTTAGGAGACCTAATATGTATATTTCATTGTCATTTTGTTATCTACTTTTAACCCTTATTAAAAACTCAATCGTTAGTGGCCTTATTTGCTTCTCACATTGGGGTAATTTAGCCTTTTTACATCTCA